ACATTAGGAAACAAAACTTCAAGACCATGGCCACACAGCCCGGAAGACCCAGACCAGCCATCGTATGCCGGCCGTGAAAGCCTTCGACAATACATATGCAGAGATGGTTTCAACAACATGTACACAAACATGCTTCAAGACCAGGACTCCCGTTAGGAAGTTTGTAAGCCTGCAACATGTATAGCACTCCAAGGGAATTGTTTTTGCTTTCCTGAAGAAGTTACTCAACTGAAGGATTGCTACCCAAACCCAGAGGCTTAAAAGATACGCCATTGTAATGCCATCCAATGTACTATAGGATCTCCAACTAGGCGGAAGGACTGGCATAACTGATTCAGTGAGGGTGAAGCAACGGCCTGAAAACAAAAACTAGAAATCTGGTGAACTAAGTTGCACTGAAGAAGTACATCCTTACACAATCTGTCCAGATGAAATTGAGAATCAAAACGTTCATTTTTGCATTTTGAATGGAGAGTTACAGCCTAGATTTATCCATACAAAGGCTTGTGTTCTGTAAGATTAACAGATGCATGGATTCTTAACTATATGAGATCTGAATATATGCCATGGTACGTGTGTTACCTGACAGAGATCATTTCATCTACTTGAAAAATTACAGTGGCCGATATTAGAATGTGACTGCCATCTGTAGGACTTTTGAAAAATTACTCTTGAGATTAAACTTCAATCATATGGATTTTTTTTAATTACATCTAATTCCCAGAAATATTTTTAGAACAGGCTGGGATCAGGTGGTATTTTTAGTCTTTTAAATCCCTCACTTCATTTCCAATGCTTCATTTAATTCAGAAGAGTTCAATGCCTGAAGAACTCCTTCAACACGTTAATTATTATAACTTGATTGCACACATTTAATACTGAATTATTATTCAGAAAATCAGCAGTAATAGTTTTGGTCATTGTTCTGCTTTAAAGATAAGAACAAAAGTACTCACAGGCACATAATAAAACCTGGCTAAGTAAATATATAGAAAACATATACATACAATACAAAGAAAACCTGGATCTCACTCAACTCAGTGGACTCAAATGTACTGATTTTCTATGGCATCAGTTTGGACTTTACCCTATAAGTACAGTGACCATATGTCCTTTATTTCAGAAAGCTGTCCTTTAGATTTATTTATTTTATCAAAATAAATTAACACTTTTGTCCTTTATTTTGGTCATTTAACTTTTACTGTACAAATGGTACCACTTAATGCATAGTCTTGTTACATTCATGTGCCAAATATGGAAATTGAATTGTCTTCTTCAAATAAATTTACATATACTGTTTGATTTCAGATATGCATTTAGAACATGCATTTTTGTGAATTTTTTCCTGGTTTTACTCTTGAATTTTCCTTTGTAAAGCAAAGTTATAAACATAAACAATTCCTTTTTTTTATCCTTATGAACCTCTCAGTTTTGCCCATTTTTTAGGTTTGCCCTTTATTTTTTCCAAGAAAATATGGTCACCATACCTATAAGCCACCCAAATAATGGATTACATACGTATGACATTGGATGATTTACTCTTTCATTTCCATGCAATCAGTTGCAAAGGCTGCAACTATGTGTAAATAGATGGTATGAATACTGCACTTGATCTTACCCAAAAGACTGAGAAGTCCTTCGGAACCAGCAAGATATCTACAAAATCTAACTTTCCCCAAGCTGAGGATAGCATTTTTCAAAGCCAGGCATAACATCTTACCATCCGCCTTGCTGCAAAGCAGATACTCCCAAACTCCATTAACCGAGCGTATGTACCCATGTACATACAATAAGGAGAATGAATCTATTTTGCATGTATTATTATGCTGTAAATTCTACAGGGATATTAGATCCGCTTACATTTGGTCCCTAATGTGTAAATTCTCAGGAAGGCCAGACAATTTTTACGTGAACCTTCTTCTAGAAGATTTGAAACCCTTTCTCACTTGTGCAATAGCCAAATTTTGTATTGCCATGATGAAAATAAGGCATAACTGGTCACAGGAATAACCACTTCTGTTTTATCGATCACTTCAGGTTTATTACATGTTAGCTCTCTTGTTTTAGGTGATATGTATTTTTACTTCATAGATCATAATATTTTAGATTTACACTTGCACTTAACATACCATTATAGTAGCATATGTTACATTTTTATGACAGAAACTCCTTGTTATCCTAGTACTTTATCTCAGCCATTTGATTTTACTGTTGTGTTGAATATTTTGAAATCTTGCTGGTCATTGACCGAAGAAACATTATTTCAGTTTCAGTGGTATGGAGCCCAATAGGAAGACAGTAATGCCGAGGGGAGAGGCTCTGGGGAGTGTGCCAAAGCACGCCAGTTTGGAAGAAGGTAAAGAAATATTTGGTTCAAAAGATAAAGGCATAAACCATGAAAAGTAAACTACCATTCCAACTTCATAAAGTGAAAATGCGCTTAGCTTCCAGACAAAGGTTCATCATATATCAGAACAGCCAACAAATCTTCCATGTGCTTAAATATATTAGTAAATGTTGAACGTATCAGTATGCCCAAGACAACTTATGGGAGTCAAAATCTGTGTTATATAGTTACTTCATTAGGGGAAAAGGTGCAGCTTGGCACTGATTTCTATTTCTATTTGCACAGCTGAGCCATTTGATTAAAAACACATGGTCTTCCTTCCTTAGGCCATATTTTAGATTATTTTTCTCAAAAAGTTCCCCTTCGGAACTCCAAAAGCAATAGCAATTTGTCCTTTAATTAGGTCCTGTCTTTTCAGTTGGTATATCTGGTTTCTGAAAACTGAACAATTTAGCTGCAGACCATCTAGAGAAACTATACATCTTGGGTTATGATAAATCCAAGGTTGCACCAAAACCAGCCACATGGTTTCCAGTCCCCTCTCATTTTCAAAATATTTCCTAGTCCATATCTTACATAATTAAATCATTCTATTGTATGTTTTGCTGCCTCTTTTATTGGGAAAACCAATGAAATGGGGGACTGGAAAAATATGGAAAATCAAGTTGATATGAGATGACATTGCACTGTGGGAAAACTTGATACGTCGCTTACATATTTACAGAAGAATCTCCAGCAGTTAAAAATACTGTATTCATTACCTGAGAAGCAAAATATACCCTGGAGTGCCTCCAACTGACAAGGTATAGGAAGTAATTACGGATATCACCAGAAAATAGAGAAACATTTTGGAGCATTCCTTTCCTGTTGGACAAGGACCCAAGAGAGCTGAAGAACTCCTGGATGAAAACTCTGGAAAGTCCACACAGCTACAGTTATAAAATATCTGAAATGAAGCAGAAATACATGTGGGCTCATGCCCAGTGGTTAAAGTTGGAGCAAGCTTAAAGGAAAACAACCCAATTAGAACAAGTTTCAGAGGTAACATTAGCCACATGGTGCATATCCTTGTAAATCTGCCATTTCTGCAAATGCCATGCGGAATGTTTAGATCCTGAGAGGAGCACCATCATAACCTTGAACTTTTGAAGAGGTGTTGATCCTGTGCTTTGAAGCAATCTTTTCTGGCTATGTCCTTGTAAACATTCCAAAAGGTGGTTTAAACAAGGACATAGTTAGTTGGATTTAAAGATGGTAGAAGTGCTTTGGTGAATGGGAGGGGCCTAAAAATTATGTAATAATTTCATCCAGGAGCAACAAAGAGGACAGGTGTGCCAATCCACCCATATGTTTCTGAAAGGTCTTTTAATCATCCCCAGCAGGTTTGCAGGAGGCACAATTTATTACAAAAAGAAAGAGGAATCTGTAAAAACAACTCCACACTTTTCAGTTCACAGATGCCAACAGAGGCCCATCACACTAATAGAATTCTGGTCATAGATTTCTGGATTCCAGTCATTGACTTGCAACCGGGAAAGACGTTCACACCGTCACTGCTTTCATTCACCCTCTACAATAGCAAAGGCCAGGTTTAAAGTTTTAAAGGTCACTCTCATAACATCTCCCAAAAGTTGACCAGGCAATAGCAGCATCCTTTTTATCTATTTTTTAAAGTTTGCTCACTGCTTCATTTTCTAAACTGTAGCAAAAGGAAATACACATGGTGTTCAGAAGCAAACGACAGAATGAGCTTCAGCTGTTTACCGTCTTCATTCCATGATGGTGGGCAGCTAAAACTTCATCTAATGCCTTCTAAAGCATTGCCAGACTTGCTATTCTAAGTTTTTTTAAAAAGATGAGATAAGGTGAGTCAAAAGAAGTAAATAGTATGTCAAGACTGGTCCCCTAGTTGTTTTCCCTCCTCCTCCTTTTCAGGGTTCTTAGACCCAAGGTTTGTCTTATCCCAATAGATACTGACACCAGGACCAAAACTGGGTTGACTTTACCATCTTTATATGAACCTGACCTGAGGGTTGTGTGATGGATTCTAGTCTATAAAAAAGAAGAGCCCAATCAATCAATCAATCAATATAAGGCACTTACCATGTTTTTCCCACTTCCGTTGGATGTTTTACAACCAGCAAGACAAGCTGAGACATACGTGATCCCATTTTCTCCACATATAGGGTCCCACTCATTTTTGGAGCACGCACAACCTGCGTTGCACTCTGAAAACAGAGTTTGTTCATAGGGGGAGACTGGCTTGTTGCTAGTGGAGAAAACAGAGGATACTGCAAGACCATTGCAGGCTATTTCTCAGCATTGGCCCAACCCCAGACCACAGCTGGAGTATAATATCATTGAACAGCACCCGATTGTACTATATATTACCCAGCTTGATATGAAAACTTCTCTGCGGACTTGTCATCTGCTAATGTTGTTTTAGGCATAGCAATTTTCCATCAGCAACATCTGTCCTCCATTTCTCTTGGACTTTAAGGAGGTAGGGTTAATGACTTAAAGGCCACCAAAAGCAAGCAAGAAAGTAAGCAAGATCTTGCAGTAAATAGAATCAGAAAAGAAAGAGCAAGAGCATCTTCCAGGTCTGTTCTCTTTGGCTTCTATTGCACTGTTGAAACTGTTGGGTTTCTCTGTTGATTTATATAAGCAGTTCTCATTTCTTTAGGTTACTTTAAAATGTAGTTTTTCAACATGACAGCCATGGCAGCAAAAAGTCAGAAGGAGTCTGGTAGCACCTTTTTCAACTAACATTAAAAAGCAAAGCTTCCATGAACTGCAGCTCATTTCATCAAATGCACAGACTGGTTAGACTGATGTAGGATCCTGATCTTAAAAAGTGTCCCTTTTAATACAATTTGTTGGTTAGAAAAGGGGCTACCAGACTCCTTCTTTTCAGTAAGAACCAGGAAATGATCCATCAGAAAAGATGGATCCCTTTGTCCATAAACAACATTCCATCAAGAAAGGAAACCCTTCTGTGCTCCTTCCTGTCAGTCCAGAAGGATTCACTGAGAATCCATAATGAAACAACTCACCATGAAGGGCAGTAGTCAAGCAGTTCTTGATACTGTCTTGATCCCTTTGGAAGAACAAAATCAAAGAGCAGTCTGCAACCCCCCACCCTTCTGTTATATGATGAGCCAGTGGTAAGGAAATGGTAGTCTTCTAGATATTGCTGGGTTACAATTGACAGCACCATAATGAAGCTCAAGCTCAGATATTTTGGCCACCTAATGCGAAGAGAGATCTCTTTGGAGAAGACCCTGATGCTGGGAAAGATGGAAGGCCAAAGGAGAAGGCAGAGGATGAGATGGTTAGATAGCATCACTGAAGCAATGAGCATGAAACTGAGCAAACTCAGGGAGGCGGTGAAGGACAGGAAGGCCTGGCGCAATATGGTTCATGGGGTCACAAACAGTCGGACCGGACTTAACGACTAAACAACAACAACAAAGTACCCATTTATTATAGAAGATGATCACATTCCCACGGAAAGAAATTCAGAAATCTCATCCAAACTTTGGCAGGCACTGCGGAGGACAATCATGTAATTTGGCAAGATAACTACTGTAGTGTAAACCATCTCCTAGCACTGTCCAGTGGTACTTACCCCTCATAGGAGATGGTCAAACCTGCCACATCTGCATTCTTGCAACCAGTTGTGAGAAGGGTGAGGAGCAGTAGGTAACCAAGGAAGGATGAGATCAAGGAAAGTTTGGCTGCCCCCAACACATTCAGCCTGAACTTCTTCATGATCAAGCCACCTGAGAAGATCCCAAGAGCTACAGCAGGAATGTTGATGAGACCTATAGTGTCCCCCCAAAGGAGCAAATGAATACCATTATAAATTTATTTTTAGGAACCACAGGAATTTGGCCAAGAAGTGTTGCTCATCGTCTTCTGTCCCATCCTTCAGAATTTTTTGTGTATTGAGCCCTCTGACTTAATCCTAATATCTGCTGGGTTAGGGCAGACAAGAGCTATGATTCTGATGACATATAGAGCTACATCTTTCAGCTTTTTGGGGTGTGTGTGGAAATGTTGAGATGGCTGGGTTCTTTTTTCCTCTGTAAAATAGGTGCACTAAGTCTGAAAATACCCATTTTAGTTCTTTGTGAGCAAAAATCAAATAATTACATCACTATACTCTGGCACTAGATTTTGGCAGTGCAGTCCTGGGAACTTTTGGGGCTGCAGAAAAGTTTTGGGGGGGACTCTCTATGTAGCCCATGGGCTCCAAGTTAATCTGCCCTATATTACATAATCATTTTAAACCTAGCATATACTATTATCTGGATCTGTTTTAATGACTTGTATTATTATGTTGTACATTAACAACAGTAAATCTTTTGCATATTCTTTACAAACTCTATTCCTTCTGTGTTCACAATCCCAAAGTGTTTCATGCATAGCTGAAGGCTTAGCCCTAAGAAAAGCTTAAAATACAATGGAAAGCACTGTGCTATGGGTAAGAAGAATTGTTTCTGAATGCCTTTACTTGAAACAGCATTCTCAAATTATACTACAATTTAAAAGGTGGCAGTCCAAAAAATACCATTTCCTATCTTCAAGGAATGCACACAATAGGTGGTCATAAACAACAGAATATCTCTAAGTTGCAACCAAATAGAATCAACTTCTCTTAATCATCTGTGAAGAATTAAATATCTTCTTTCATCAGATATTTGGCCCTAATATGGCAAAGATCAATTTTATCCAACCTTGGCAACTTCCAGAGGTATGGACCTTGACTTCCAGAACTCTCCAGTCATGGAGTAGAAGTCTACAATTCTGGAAGTTGTCAAGAGTGGGAAACCTAACATAGGTGTTTTAAGAGCTCCCTTCCTGAAAGGCTGCCTTCATCAACCACCTAGGAATTAGAGGTGGACAAGATCTCCAAAGTTGTTTCTAATTAATGCTAACTTTCCCTGAATTCTCCTGTGCCTACAATTAGCTGCAAGAAGCAGTGATGTGTTCTCAGTTACTCAGCTACAAAAATAAGCAGGGCCCAGTAGCTGTGCCAGACGAAGACAGACTGAAAAAGAAGATAGAGCTATGTTGAGTTTATGTATCTGTATCCCAGCTGTGCAACCGTTTTTTTCAGTCAAAGGGCTGTTTTTGCCTTTGAGGGGCATAGTGTGCCAAGGGACACATACATATAGCCAGGATGAATGATAAATTTGATTTGATACATAAAATTACATTAATTAAAAAGGATGAATACAATAACTCCTCCAAGTAATAATTTCCCCTTCTGGCATATATCATAATCATTGTCATCATCATCATCAACCTGCAACTTGGATTATGGATCTTTTCTATATTCTATTTATCAAACCCAGAACAAAGTGGTATCTGCTTCATTCCCAGATGCAAGAACCTCAAACATACCTATGACAAAATTGGTCTTCGAAGATGATTGTCCAAACTGCTGTTCAATATATTTTGGCTTATACGTCACCATGCCAATGAGAGAATTGAGTTGGATGATGCTGGAGCAAAGATATAAGAAGTAAACTGGATTTCCAAGGAGGCTTTTCAGGGATGGCAGGAACTCTACAAAAGAAAATGGATACTTGTTGGTTAGAAAGAAGTGAGAAATGAATGTGGATGGAAACTTGTTCCAAAATAGGTTGAACAAGTAAAAACTGTTCATGGACAACTGGAAGGAGACTTAGTCATACTCAGATCCTTTCCACACTACTCCTATTTTCACTTCCCCAACCCCCCAGAAACACTTTTAAACCAACCTTCACCTGTCCTCAGTGCAGCTAACCTTGTAACACTGAGTGATTCATGTGAAATAAGCAGAGCTTCCTCCAGATGGTCAATGGGGAAGCAAAACCAGCACTTGTCCAATGCACTCTCTTTCCATGTGGTTACTGTTTGATGATTTGTAAAAATCCTCAAGGTACTAAAATGGGGAAAGGCCATTGTGGCATCATTTCTCTGCTCATAATTTAAATGAACTATGGAGACAGGGTAGCATCTTGGTCAAATGCCATTGTGGCTGAACCTTTGGTGGGAGGAAGGAAAACCTAGGAGAGGGCAGTTCCATGTTGCTTCAGAGTTTCCACTAGAAAGTCATCTCCACACTATTTCTGATTGCTGTGCAGCTGGGCTGAAAAGAAATGGATACAACTGCCAAACAGGGATATTGTCATAGGATCACAATCCTGGTATTATGCAAAATTGCATGTAGAAATGTCCTTAAACAAAAAGGACTGATGTCTGTGGAACCATAGTCAATTTCAGTTTGTCTATTCTAAATATGTGAACTTTGAAGAAATGAGATACTGTAGAAAGAGCATTGCCAGTTTTGAACTTTGGTGTTGGACAAGACTCCTGAGAATACCATGGATGGCCAAGAAAACAAATGAATGGATCTTCAAACAAATCAACCCAGAGTTCTCACTTGAGGCCCAGATGACCAGGCTCAGATTATCATACTATGGACATATCGTCCAAAGACCTAGCTTCTTGTGGAGTCCATAATGCTGGGAAAGGTGGAAGGAAAGACAAGAAGAGGATGACTAGCAGCAAAGTGGATAGAATCAATTACAGCAGCGATGGATGCACTTTGGAAGACCTGAAGACATGTTTGGAAACAGATCCTCTAGGAGAAAATCTATCTGTGTGGTCATTAAGAGTTGCCCCCCAACTTAATGACTGTAATGGTCTGTGAGAATGTTCTTGAGAGACAGGAGGAGGAGGAGGAGCTGCAGACTAGGAAATGGACAGATAAGAGGCAGCTTAGCCTGCAGAAGGAATGGGGTCATGGCAAACCTGGTTTCTTAGACTGTAAAGATGAGGGGGAAGAGATGTACTTTCAGACTTGCAAGATTCTGTAACCTTGGAAGGTTACATACTTGGTGTTCAGTGAACCATCTCAGATGGAATGACATGACTCTTGCCAACTTTCCTGGAGGTGACATTATCCTATAAATAATAGTACTTCACCAGACTGATTTTAACACTGTTAGTTGTGTATACAGTTTGCTATTCAGCCTCCATTAATTTACCAGGATTCACATCTCTTCAAGCAGATTATCCAGCAAATAATACGGAAGAAATTATAGAGGTATCATTCTGGATTTAGAGAGAGCCAGCAATCTTATATTTCCTTATATTTCAGATTTCTTGTGCTTATTCTTCTGGCCAACTTGAATAATTATTGCCATACAGTTAAATGGTTTTGTAACAGCTGTTTATGTTAGAGTGAAAATGGCTTTTACATTTTATTTAAAAAAGGGGAGGGCAGTGATTATGATTATTATTTTGTATTGCTACAGTGATTGTGAGGTGTGTAAAAGAAATGATCAAACCAGCACTCTTAATATATTGCCTTTTCTTTTTGTCATTTAGGAGGTTTTTGAATTTTGCTGCATCAAATCTCCATTAAACTGCTCACATACATTGGGATGTCAGCTTAATTAAGCATGTGGTCACCACAACCCATATAAAATTCAAGATGAATCCATTCAGGACTCCATTGCCAATGTATTAATTGGGTTACACTCATTGCCTAAGTTAGGTTTAAGTCACCTGTTGCCCTCCAGATATTTTGGACTTCAAAACTTACTAGCTTTAGATTGAATGGTCAATAGCAAGCAGTTATGAGAACTACATTCCAAAACTTCTGAAGGGCACCAGATCATCTATACCAACTCTCATGTTCAGAGCAAGGCAGTACTTGGTGCTGAGACAATAACCAAACTAGTGCTGTAGAAAATGACATCCAAAGCCCATCTATGGATCAGCTAATTAGCCAGCTTCCCTCACCTTTTGCCATCTTGAGAAATTTGACTTGGTTCTGGTAGGTGGTGCAACATTCCTTGCTTTCTTCAGTGATGAACTTGGATTGCTCAGTAGAATCTTTTCGGGTCTCTGGCCTTGGAAGATGCTTTGGTAAGAACCAGAAGGGGATCGCGGCAAGGATGCTGATTAACCCAGCAACTAAATAGCCAAGCCACCAAGCTCCTACCCAATGTGGGTCTTTGTGAGTGATGGGTATGCTGCCTGAGGAGAGAAATGAAGGCCTTTTAAATCAGTACGAATTATTCAGACACCAGCATGATTTCTAATATTGAGCAGAGATGGATTAAGATAGGCTGGGCAACCAGTAGATCTTAAATTGCTGTTTTTGTACCTGCTTCATCCCTTCCTAATCACACCCCTTAATTCCAGCAATGTGGTTTGGTACCATAATTTTCCAGCAAATTACAGTTTCCATTTAATGGAGTTTTTCTCCTTTAATATGGAGGCAGAAGTCTCTGTGAATCTCTCTCCTTTTTCCTGTTGGTCTCACCTACTTCAGCACCAAGGCACCCCCACAATGTTGTCATTGCCTTCCTCCGGGGACACATTCACGGTGATGTCACTGCCTTTCCCATTGCAACTTCAGAAGACAAATACCAGCATGGTTCCAAGGTGAGAAAAGTTTATCCACTCCTTGTTTCATAGTTTGTGGTTTGAATTTTTTTTTGGTCAAAAATAACTTGTGGCATTTCTACTTCAAAATGGACAAAGACTGCCATTCATGCTCACCCATGTCTACGAAGCCAATGTCCACATACAGCTTGGCACATAAGGATCCCAAAAGAAACCCAAAAATGGGGCCTATAATTGCAACGGTCTGAACACATCCTGCAAAGAAAGTGGAAAGGCAGATTAGATCAAAGAGAATTCAGTTTGATCTTTCGAAGAGAGAGAAAAACTTTAATTTGGTCAAAAGAAAGCAAAAGAAAATAGTAAAATACAGTGAAGCATGCATACAACTATGAGGACAGTCAGTAATATATAACACAGAGTTATAAGCATTACATCTATAAAATCAACAAAGCCAATTTGAATAACTAAACCTGAAAGGGGTCTGTTTTCCTAGTATGTTAAAACCAACGTTTATAAAAGGTACAACAAAAAAGCCAACACTATAAATCTTTTGAAGAAGAATCACCTAGAGAACTAAAAAAGGACAACTGCTTTTTTTTTTTTTTAAAAGGCCAACCTCTTAATAAACTGTGTCCCCACTTTTGTTCACTTCTTCCTGTGCTCATGCTGAAAGGCAGGGTTATCATGCAATGCTTTATTTATTTATTATCTTATCTCTTGAATTAGCCACCCATCTCACCCGAGCGACTCTGGGCGGCTAGCAGCAGATAAAAACACCCCGCAAACTAACAGCCGAAACATATGAAATCTACAATGGAGATATAGATGAAAAGATGAAAATAAATCGAATAAACTAAGAACACCCCATGGGCTCCAGCTAACTTCCCAACTCTCATGCCTAGGAATATGTTCAGGTCTATAAAGCTTTTCAGAAGGCAGAGTCGGGGCCAATCTAATGTTGGGTGGCATGGTTTTGTAAAGGGCAGGGACTGTCACAGAAAAGGCCTGCTTTCTGGGTTCCCCAAGATGACGTTCTTTAATTGATGGGCCCACGGCATGCCTCTCCAGTTGGATCTGATAGGATGGGTAGAAACCATTGAGGAGAGTGGTCTTGCAGATGACCCAGCTCCATGCCATAAGGTGACAACCAGCACCTTGGATTCCACCCAGAACCATATCGGGAGCCAGTGTGGGTTGCGGGCTATGCACTGAGGGGCACCCTTAAAGCTCCCACATTTTGGACCAGCTGGAGATTCTGGATGTTCTTCAAGAGCAGCCCCATGTCAAGGACATTGCAGAAATCCTCTCCATAGTTTCAGAAGCCATTGGTTAAACCATATTCATGTATGCACCATTCCCATATGAGTTTGAAATAAATTAATTTTTACAGCTTTGGATGCCTCAAACCTTCCTTTTTCCTGATCATAATTGGTTCCACTAAGCACAATTGAAAGTGCTGGTTTTATATAGCCCTTTATGGGTTTGGTGGGACTGCTTGCTTCAAGTAGAAATAACCTGTCCAGTTCCTTTGGCCAGCATGGGACTGGGAGAGGTGAATTAGAACTTGGGTTTCTCTGAATATGCCCCGCTACATTGGAACACCTTACTTCCACGATGTTCTCCCTAACAACCTTTCAGATCGCTCTGAAAACAAAACGCTTGCATGAGGAGAACGGCAGTCATTATTGGATGTTGAGCTTCATTAGAGGTGGGGATGTTATTATGTACCTTGGTTTTATTGTTTTATGGGCAACTTCTGCTAGAGTCTTTAAAGAGCCAGTGGTGTGGAATAAATACACACAGAATACTGTAGTAGTAGTTGATTCCTGCACTGGGCAGAGGGTTGAAATAGATGGTCTCCTAGATCTCCAGCCCTTACATTCTGTATTTCTATGATAACTGGGCTCTTTCTCATAGCTAGTGTCCAATTATTCACTCATTCGCAGTATGATCATCATAATACTGGTGTAGCCTTTTACGGACCAATAGGACCAACTAGAAACCAGCCCCCCAAAATGGGCAAATCAGAACCTTGCCCGGACAAGGACCCAATCAGAAATTAGCTGCTTAGACTAACAAAACAGAATCCAGCACAAAGAACCAATCAGGAAGCAGGACTCCAAACATGACCTATCAGAAGCTGGCATGAACAAAGGACCAATCAGGAACCAGCACTACCAAAATGACTAATCAAGTCTAATACAAACAAAGAACCAATCAGAGACCAGTCCTCACCAGCCTGCACCAACTGGAAACCAGCTTGGCTAAAAACCAACCAGAGGTCAGGAGCCCAGTCAGTCCCTGCTCAGTTGCCTGTGGACTGTGGACAGCAAAACATCAGGGCATCTGTTGTCTAGACCACAGTCACTAAACCCTGAAGCCCAACATGATCAACATAGCTTTGCTCACAGAAGCTGCACTTAACAGTAGTTCTCTCCTCTGAATCGCACTTCCACTGTGTCATCATTTCTGGCTGAAACCATGAATAGGGCCCTTGGTCTGATCTATCAAAGCTATCTTTGCATAAATGGAAGAATTGCTTTAGTTAGACAAGGAGAAGAAGAAGAGAGAGAATTATCATTTTTTTCTTCAACAATACCAATGTAAAAAGGTGCACTCTCTTCTGGGGTGTAGTCATCAATGTATGCGATTCCCAAAGGCTGAATTGGTGTTTCTCCTATTCCCCGTAGTAGGTTTCCCAGAAAAACGTAGATCCACATGGAAATACCAGCTTCTTTTTCACACCCTGGACACACAAACCAAGAAGCTGAGAGTTGCTTTTTGATAACATTCACAGAAACAACAAGACCCCTGTTGCTTAGAATATATGTATAACCAGCTAGGTGCCCTAGTGAATTCCTGGATGGGGGACCACTAAGAAATTCCAGGGCTGTAGGTTAGACTGGGAAATGATCCTGAAAGATGGCAGAGGCAAATTATTACTGTACTGTTACCAAGAAAACTACATGGACATGTCCATGAAGTCATCCGGAGGGTGTGAGTGGAGAGAGACCTTAACATCCACATACCCATTGAATAAATGGCAGAAAGGCTATTCAAAACCTGTCCTTGTCTTAGTATTAACTTTGATTACTTTCATTTATCAGAAAGCTGATTTCCCAAGTAGGTCATGACTGAACTGGCTTACACTAAAAAAGAACTGGAAGGAGGAGGAGAAATGAAATTTATTTTCCAATGAACACATTCCGACGGGCATGTATAACACCTTCCGGAAGTCCCACAAGACCTGGTTATGCCATCAGGTATGGAGGCCTCAGGGGACTGGTGAGATACTGAGGTGGCTCCATTGTTATTAACATCTGCTATTCTCTCTGAGCCTTGTGTTTTTTTCCTAAATATTTCTAAATATTTTTAATAATGATTATATACTAACTTTTTTACCATCTTGTTGTATGCCACCCAGAGTCACTTTTCATGAGATGGGTGGCCATATAAATTTGACAAACAAACAAATAATTAAAAAATCCACAATTCAACAGAAAGAGCATGGATTGCAGAGAGCAATGAAATAATCTAGATCAGTGTTTCTCAAACTTGGCAACTTTAAGACATGTGGACTTCAGCTCCCAGCTGGCTGGGGAATTCTGGGAGTTGAAGTCCACATGTCTTAAAGTTGCCAAGTTTGAGAAACACTGATCTATGTGGTATCCATAATACAACCATAAGTATCCAATTAGAGGCTACAATGATGCCAGAATGATGGTGAGTACATCATGATGTCATCATACAAATGACTGAGCTATGATGTCATGTTATACGGAATATTACTTGCCCTTCTCCTGCCCACCTGTAGCTGCCCATATATGCAAGGCAAAATTAAAATTAAGATGGTAAAATAAGTTAATTTCATTCCCAATGCTGTTACAAATCTTGATGGAATTCTCAGGGGCTATAGGAGCTGGGTTTAAATTGGTGTTACAATTGCCTTCTTTATTTCTTCTCCTCCAGAAAATGCTAGTATTAGGACAAAGATAGTTTTAGGGAGGCTAAATCTTCTCCTTCCACATTTCGAGTGGAATGTTCAAGAGAATCAGAGCATCCAAGCCCAACCAAGTTTAAACTTCAGATTTTTTTTGAAGCCCACAGGAAGTATGTTGCTGATCTTGTTTTTAAATACTTACTTACCTGCCTGGATTTTTGTCTGAGATCTTTCCAAGCCTGAGACTCGTATTTGGTTTTGATCCTGCAGACATGGGGAGATGCTGATAGTTGAATTGGAGGAGGAAGAAAATACCTCATACCTATAGCTGTGTAAAAACCAACAGTTTCCTTACAAGGATCCCACCTATGAAAATTGGAGGAAAAGTTACTTCTCTAATTTATTCCAAAGACCTATTCAGGGCCCAGTTCTCAAAATGCCACTCCAAGAAACAGCTTTATAGAAGGACAGAAGTTAGGCTTTCCCTGCCACGAGGAACTGAATCTGTATGATCAGCGAGAAGATGCTGGTCAGGTGGTTGCCAGTGGACATTTGCATAAGGCAACCAAAAGATCATGGAGTTGGGAGGAGTCTGCTAGGTCAGTTTGTTCAGCAACTTTTGTTTCAGTGCAGAAAATTCAGAGCCAGACTCAAACCCATTGGCTAGATGGGTTTCCAATCTCTGCTCCAGCAATGAAAAGTGTATCGATCCCCTAGAAAATGAGTCCCATTGTCCACTTGCTCTTTATCATCAAGAAGTTTGATGTTCCTTCAATATCTATCCTCTTACGTTATAGGATGACTTGAGCTATTGATCTCTAGCCCTGGATGAGGGAGCTTTAAGTTGACCTTAGCTGCATCAGTGTAAAGTAGCATTTCCCTCTTATTCCAAATCCATTCAGGGACACCTTCAAGGAGTATACAATTTCTCATTCATTACTATAGGAGGAAGGCAGGCAGGGGGGTAGAGTGAAAATAGACGCAAGTAGATAGAAAGAGGATGGGATCCTTAACAGGGACAGCAGATTTCATGCTGGCATAGTCCTCTTACAATGTGGCCAGATGAAAGAAATCTGACAGGTCTTCTTGGCCTACCCCTATACAACAACCTCTATAGTATTTAAAAGGTGCTATTACAGGTAGTCTTTGGTTACGACCATTTGTTCAGTGACTGTTCAAAGTTACAACAGCACTGAATGAGGAGGTCTTATGATTGGTCCTCAGAGTTCTGGCTGTTGCAGCGTCCCCATGGTCATGTGATTGTGATCCAGGCACTCGGTGCCTGGCTTGCGATTACATCACAGCAAGCTGCAATCATGTGATCACGATTTCCTACGTTCCCTGCCGGCTTCCCACAAGCAAAGTTAATGGGAAAGCTGGCAGGAAGTTGAAAGTCATGCTCACATGAGGTCCTTGCTTAATGACCTGTGTAGTCCTCATTTAATGACAGCAACTGGGACTGCCGGAATTGCCATCACTAAGTGACGTGATCACATGACATCACAGTTTACAACTCTGTTGCTTAGTAACGACAGTCCCAGTCCCAATTGCCGTCGTAACCCGAGGACTACCTGTAGACATCTTTTAAACATTCTCAATTCCCCCAGTCTCTCTTTGTAAGACTTTATTTCTAGTTCCCTGATCATCTTTATTGCCTTTCTTGGAATTTTGATAAGTTTTGCATTTCTCCCTCTTGTAAAGCATGCTGGCTGGGGAATTCTGGGAGTTGAAGTCCACACACATTGAAGTTGCCAAGGTTGAGAAACACTATTGTAAGGCAGGATATCCAAAAGTTCCAATGCTCCATGCGGCATTTCCTAGCCTATACTTACAAAATGAATTTGAATCCTACAGGGAAAAAAAAAATATTTTGACCCATTTTTGGAGAGATTCTTATTCTCTTACTAAAATGCCTTTCTTAGCAGATCATTTTAAAAAATGCTATCATAGAAAATGAGCCTTGTATTTATCTGTTGCTGAAATTTTAAATCTAAATGATTAACCATTATACTTACTGTCCCATAAAGAACTGTGGCAGGGCAATCAGAAATGTCCCCAGTGACATAATGATGCACCCAGCTCCAATTATTTTTGGTCTGTGAAGTTTGGCTCCAAAGTAGCTCACCAGAATTATTATTAAAAGGTTCCCTTTAAGAAAAATAGAAAGAATGATTAAGATGGAGAAGACTGTCCATCAGGCCTAAAAACACACTGTTAACCTATTTGCAAAATATGGAAAAGATTGCGTATATAACGTACCAATTTCAAAACTCCCATCGATGAGGCCAACTAAAGAAGAAGGGATATCAAATCTTCTTTCTATTTGAGTGATGGTACTTTTCAGGTAGCTTCCTGAGAGAGTTTTTGCAAAGTAAACAAATGACAATGCACCGAGAAAAATCTGTTAAAAAAAACAAATAGTGCTAAAGAATTTTGAATTCAACTGTTCAAAATAGGTGTGAAATTTGGTTCATCAGAACTTTCTGGTCAGTAGAGTGACTTTAGACCTAGGTCTAGAACATAGGTACAAACTCAATGCTGCACTTTTTGAAATTTGTGATGTAAGTGACAACCCCCAAATACATGCAAAAGTGTGTGTGTTAGAGAAACTTATGAACAAAACACCTTTTCCTATTGAATAAGTGCTTGCTCACAGTTTGAGAATGGTGCATCGATAGTCCTCGCTTAGTGATCACAAATGGGACTGGCAACTCCATCACTAAGTGTGGTGGTCACTAAGCAGAAAATCATGTAATCGTGGGCTTACAACGTCACTTCCCATTCAACTGTTAAGCAAATCACCATGGTTGTTAAGTGAAACATCACGTGAACGTGACTTGTGATTTTACTTCCACATTCTCCATTAACCTGGCTTGTTGGAAGCCGGTTGTGAAGCACATGACTGGTGATCAAGTGACTGCAGGATGCTGCAGCAGTCACAAATGCAAGGATTGGTTGCAAAGTTGTTGTTTTTTTACACCATTGTAACTTTGAACAGTCACTTAACAAGGCAGTTGGTAAGTGAGGACTCCCTATAGTAGAATATCAGATAATGATGATGTGTACATCAAAGCAATGCCCGCAAATATTCATAAGGATCTTATTTCTGCCAAAATTTATAAATAACGCTAAGCAGGAGTTACAGTTTGTAAGATGAGAAGGCCAAGAAGAATTAATTTGGCAGCATACTAGTATAATAAGATGTGATCACTGAAAACTTGGCATAAATTCTCATTGAATTCAGACTGTCTTACTACTCACTGCAGATACAAGGCTGTACAAACAAAATATTATTAGGAAATAACTTCCATGAAACATGATAGCATTTATTTTTGGATAAAAAAATCATATGATGGCATTACCCAACCCCAATTCCATAAACTTTATTTGTAATGAACATTCAGCCTTTGAATTCCCTGAAGTTAATAATCAACAATGAATCTGAAATCAGTGTTAATGTTGGATTTAATCAGATGTCTGCCTTAATGTTTAAATATCTTACGAACCTGAGCATAAACTGCAAAGCACATCTTTAGCCAAAGTACGATTGACTAGAGTTGTCAATTCCAAAAACGTTCTTCTCACACCCAGGAATGTTTTATTTTAACTGAATTGTGAAGAACAGTTTTAACAAGAAGCAAATCATCAAAGCAAGCAATTATTCAAGTATTATCCTCTCATCAAGGTGGCAAATTTTCACTGCTTTTAAATCTTGGAAATTAGATCAATTCATTTTAGGTAGAGCCAACTGGATCTGGAAATCAGTGCTATGAAGGTTTATGCATAAAGAGGAGGTTCCCTGTCTTTTCACTCTCTGGTTGCCATGGGTTATCTTGCTTGGTGAAAGCAAACTGTCTAAAGTACTGTATGTTCAGGCTCTTAATCATTTAATTGAACAAATCAAGCCAGAGTTCTCACTTGTGGCACAAATGACCAGACTCAAATGATCATACTTTGGACATATTGTGTGAAAACCCAGCTCTCTAGAGAAGGCTGTAATGACGGGAAAGGTGGAAGGAAAGAGAAGATGATGCCCAGCAGCAAGGTGGATGAACTCCGTTACAGCAGTGATGGGTGCACTGTTGGAAGACTGGAAGGACCAGGTTCGGGACAGATCCTCCTGGAGAAAATCTATCTAATGTAGCCAATAAAAGTTGACACCAGCTTGATGGCACATAATCAGTCAGTCAGTTACATAATCATTGTCAGTCATTCTGAGCTGAATTTTGCCTGGCAATTTCTCTAAAGTTTTCTTTTCCTGCAAAACAGTCTTCTACCTTTCATCTCAGGGTGGTTGAGAATTTATTTCAAATTTCCCCTGGGTTATGTTCTGTTCTTATTTTATTATTGAAGGTGGCAAAGGATGCTCCTGCTCCTGCTCCTGCTCCTGCTCCTGCTCCTGCTCCTGCTCCTGCTCCTGCTCGTGCTTGTGTTTTGTTTTGTTTTACATTTTCTTATTACTTTGTAGCTTCCTTAGCTGCTCACATTTCCAATATGGGGGGGGGGGGGAACCCATGGGAGAGTAATCTCATGATTTAATTTGTTATTTGTTTATTAGATTTACAGTATATTCCCATTTCCCTCAAGAAGCTCAGGGCACTTTGTACTTCTTCCAATTTTTACTACAACCACCACCTTATGAAATACTTTGGAGGAAGAATTAAGGACTGACCCAAAGTCACCCCATGAACTCTCATGGTGGAGATTGGATTTGAAAATAGATCTCCTTACTCCTAGTCCAACAGTTTAACAGCTATATATGGTGAAATATTGGGCTTTGAAGAAGCAGGATAGGAAGAGCTTTGACGCTTTTGAACTTTGGTGTTGGAGAAAACTTGAGAATACCATGGACACCCAAGAAAACAAATAAACAGATCATTGAACAAATCAATGCAGAGTTCTCATTCAAGGGAACACAAATGACCAGGCTCAAATTATCCTACTTTGGACACATGATGTGAAGACCTAGCTCTCTAGAGATGGCTCTAATGCTAGGAAAGATGGAAGGAAAGAAAAGAGGATGACCAGCAGCAAGGTGGATGGACTCAATTACACTGTTGGAAGACCTGAAAAACCAGGTTAGGACAGATCGTAATGGAGAAAATCTACCTATGTGGTTGTTAAGAGTTGACACTGACTTGATGGCACCTAATCAATCAATCAAGCAAGCAAGCAGTCAATGAATGGTGAAATATGGGAAGTAGCAAACTGTTGGAGAGAGGATTGTACAATAAAAGACAGAACATTCAGACATACCTTTTGGTTATCTTATAACTAAGTGCAAGAGCAGCACCTTTCACCCATGAGAATTTAACTGAAAATCTCTTCTCTCAAAAAAAAAAAGTTACAAAAACCCATTTGTTTCATCCATCTGAATGAACAATTGGTAGGAAAAAATGCTGAATAAGTTTCCTGCATGGTGATATTTGTCTGTTTCCCAACATCAGGGCTGCCAAGTCTTCCAAAAAGAGTTCCGCTATTGAATGTGGCTTGTGGGCAGAGACCTCTGGATATGGGGGTGGAGCCAAGATTCCAATGGGTTTGGGGAGATTTGGGAGAGGAGATCATTTTGTGTGTGGCCAACTCAATATCCAATACAAAAAAAAAAAAGAAAAGGTCACTTCAGCCAAAAATACATTTCTATTAAGGCTGTTAGTGTTAAAAGCAGTGAAGGGGAAAAAACTTCGAGTTTTCCTCTTAGTTCATTAGCCAGCTCACTTCCAAAGGGGGAGGAAATTTTGCTCTCTAATATAATTACCTATTTTTGGAGGTAATAAGCCACTTTTTAAAATAGCATAGTGAAGGTTTATTCATTGAGAGAACTGGATTATCTTGAAGAAAGCAGAGAGAGAATGATCAAATTTGTCCATAAGGCAAGTTTAATGAACACAACATGCTTTTAATTCTTCAAAGAAGAGACATAGTTAAGTCCCAGTCTGCCCAGTGATTTGAGAAGACTGAGACCATTTTCTGTCAAAGGTGCTCTTGGGATTTAAGTAGCAAGCCCTCCTGAGAAAGTGAAATTTTGAGTCTTCAGTCATTTGTTTGTTTTGTTGAATTTATATCTTGTTGCAATCTCATGAATCCTGGTGGTTTACCAGATATTCCAGAAATTCAAACATCCATGGTATGATTAAAACAACAGAAATAATTGAAAACCTAAAATTAAGGACCAACACATAGAATAATAATAAAAATACAAAGATAGAAGTAAAAAAATAAAATAAAAGATGGTGTAGTAGGTAGGCCTCACTGGGATACTTTTGGGAAAAACTCAGTTTTTAATAGCCTTCTGAAAGCCATCAAGGAGGGACCTAGCCTGGTCTCTTCAGGGAGATGGTTTCTCAGCACTCATCAGCCACTGAGAAGTAGCATCTTCTAACTCTGGCTCCCTCACCTCCTGGAGGTGTGAGACAATAAGAAGTTTCTCCCTCAGGGCTCTAGTTCAGTGTTTCTTAACCATGGTAGCTTCCAGATGTGTGAACTTCAACTCCCAGAATTTCCCAGCCAGCTTAGCCACTGCTGAGAATTCTGGGAATTAGAGTCCACATACCTGGAACTTGCCTAAGTTGAGAAACACTGCTCTAGTTGATTTGGTTATGCCAATAACAATGCACAGTCAAATAAATGATAAAGATGTTTAATTTCTTTCACCGAATTTGCTAATTATAGTGTATGTACAATATGAATGTGCTGCCTTTCTCTGTATTCTCAGCAATCCGGACTCCAGTCTGCACTTTCACTGTATTCCAGCAGTCTGCAGCATCCCTGGCTTCTCATAAAACCCCAAAGGAAAGCGTCATGTGTAATGGTATGTGGGAATGACTTTGGGAGACCAGAAGGAGAGCTGCAGACTAGACAATGGTCAGAGAAGAGGCAGCTGAGCCCACAGAAGGAATGTGGGTGTGGCAAACACCTCAGAAGGGACCCTCCCTAGTTTTGTGGACTGTAAAGGCAAGGGGGAGAGATGTAGTTTCAGACTTGCAAGATTCTGTTAATGTAACCTTACATAAAGTTAGAGCTAGTACTTCTGGGTGTGCTTCTTGTCTGGACTACCTCACAAGGCCAACATTATGAGACATGTATCCTTGGCGTTTTCAATTTGAGAAATGTAGACAGCCAGGGAAATTTCAGAATGATAGAAAGATGAGCAAGAAAAACACCAACAGCAATACTGCCTGTGTCCCCCAAAAGCAAAGCAAACTGAGAAACAATACCAAGAGAAAGTTAGAACGAATTCTCAAGCACTCTGAGAATACAATGAAAAAACACAAAAGAAGTCTCTAAGCGGAAGAAATTTTGACATAGCATTATCTAGAATCCACAATCTTTTTGAAAAATTATAACTATCTTAGGTTAAAGGGTTTTCCTACATAAAAGTTTGTTAGGTTCTTTGAAACCAGTAGAAGAAAAAGTCATAAAAGGTTGCAACCTTTTAGATGGAGTGAGGGAATGTTAGTCCTACCAAATTCATTAGGGCTAAATTCTAAAGCAACAGAGGAAAAAAAAAGGCTGGATTGAAAAACATAAGGAAAAAAATACACCCAGGAAGTTCTCAGCTACTTTAAAGAGCTACTTTCACAGTTCCAGGCTTTAACTATACCTTCATTCCTCCACATAATGTTCCTTTTTCCTTTGCATTGGAAGATTCTGACCTTGATGAAGATCTGTCAATGGACAGTACTGTGGTTTTTGAGAAGAGCTGAGTGTTCTCTTTGGATGAATTCTCCATCTTGGGTATTCCCTTTCAATCAGTCTGAAATACATTGCACCAAGTTATTTGAGGAACTGCCCTAAAGTTATGACAATCTTTTTAGTCAGTGTACTTTGGTCCATTAAAAAAAGATAATTCATGGGCAACAGGGAATGAGATTTCTAATGAAACCCCCAAATTAGTGGAATTCCTCCTTGGGACTATTCTATTGTTAGCTTTCCAGAGTGCTTTGAAGACAGTTGAATTTGATTTCACAGTTCACTGCCATATTTTGATTAACTGATACTGCTTAATTTTAAGAGGTTTTCATTTAATAGTGTTATATATTATGGCTCCCCCCCCCCCCCAAAGTTCATGGGGGCAATCCGGGAAGAGCAATATTCACAGTTCACTGCCATATTTTGATTAACTGATTCTGCTTAATTTTAAGAGGTTTTCATTTAATAGTGTTATATATTATGGCTCCCCCCCCCCCCCAAAGTTCATGTGTGCAATCCGGGAAGAGCAATATGCTTGGAAAGGAAAATGGGTGGAAGAGAGAGAGAAGAAATGAGGATTGAATCATAAACTGAACATATAAAGGAAGAGTGAATCAACTGAGAGAAAGGAAAGAATGAGAAAGTTGTGATTGGATGAAGTTGAGGAGAAACTGAAAAAGGGAGAACAGAGAAGTTCAAATAACAAAAGGAAAAGAAAGGGGAAGACAGAATGGTTTGCCAAGATAGAAAAGTATTGAGAGGTATAGGAAGCAGTGTTAGCATAAACTAGATATAGGATTTTATTTCTTTTCCTCTTTTCCCTTGCATGAATTGATCTTAAGTGGTTAGTGTATGGTTTAAAGTGTTTTGCAGGAACAGAAAGTGTATTAATTCAGTAATGTGTTTAAGCATGTTGTGCAAATGGAGTTATTCATATTCTAGTTTGGACATTTCCTGATGCATGGACCTGTCTTCTGGTACACCATGCAGTAGGGAAATCTCTCATGTTTGGTTTCTTTTGGTTGGAAAACCTCTAAATTTCCATTTCTCTCCATTTCTCATCTATCAAAGTTGGTTAATCAAACTTGAGAATTTTTTGTAGTAGCTCACATAAAGTGAGTATCTTTCAAACATACAGGTCATTTTGCCTTTGGTGAACAGATTTTGCAAAGAATTTCCTTTACTGTTAGGCATATTGGTGCATGATTTACATGAGTATATGGGTTTTGTAAAGATTTTTCCCTAATATTGATTCCAAAGTTGGCGTCCTCCAAATGTCTTGGACATAGGGTTGGAATTTTGGGAGCTGTAGCTTCAACCTATCTAGAAGGTGACAGAAAGGAGATCTATAAGATCTGCCTATATGCCACATAGCCCATGTTAGTATCTTTTTCATGGCATGATGGAGGTTCACGCCAGTCTTGATACCTTTTGGACATCACCAGAATAAGGCCTGACATGAAGCTGACACCAAGAATAGTGTTGAAGAATATAAACTATGCATCTTCAAGACTACCAAATCAGAGTGAATGGATCTGATGCAGCTATAGTTACAAAATTCGTGAAGCAAGACAAGTTGTTTAAAAATACACAAATGTTGCACAAAGCTTTGAATGTAAGCTGAGAATCTTTCCTGCAAATAAGTTGTGCTGAAATCACACTCTGGCTTTACATGATATTTCATTACATTTTCCTGGATTGTGTTCCTAATACACTTGAGCCAATACAGATGATCTTTGCTAATTAAGAGAATCAAACTCCTATGAATTTAAAGGCAGAGGATCTCTGAATGTTCTCAGAGCACATTGTTCTGAAGAACTGTTGAAGAAACCCACTGTTCTACTACTACGACTGATAATCAAAATAGCAATAATTACATATATGTAGATACTACTTTAAAAACAGTGTGGTTTTTTTTTTTAAAGGTTCCCCTTACCCTGAAGAATAGACTTTGAAGTTCAGTTTTCCCCAAAATATTACATTAACACACAAAATACTAAAACCGCAACTATTTCCACATTCCTTACCTCACCAGCCTTCATTTCTTAGAAGTTACCTTCATGAAGGTGAATTCAGAAACAAATATGGATACTCCTTTCTCCTAGATGTTAGGTGGAATGTTGTTGAGGGAAACCACAGCCAGAGGTAGATCTTATATCTGGAGGTAGGAAAACAAGACAAGCAAAAGAAAGGGGAGGGGAAACAGGTATTTACTTTCCAGTACGATTAGTATCTTTTGTTATTATTGTTTTGATCCAGATCACCTCTACATCTTTGCGTCAGTCTTTTCCCTCCTCTTTTGCAAATTCCAGGAGACCCCAAAATCCAAGCAATGGAAATGGTTAAATGTTCTTGAGATCCTTCTCTCTAAACAGGCAGCAACTTTGACAGAATGCATGTGACAAAGCTTTCTCTCTCTTTTTTACTCTCTCTCTCTCTCTCTTTCTAAAGACCTGATTTTCTTAATTGCTGGTTCCCATGAAATCAAAGACTTAAAGGGGAAGAACATACCAAACAAGAGAAAGAGAGTGGGTAGAATGAAGAAACTCTTTGCTTACACTGAAGGCTTTCTGTATAACTCTTTCTCTTCCCCTGCCTCCTCAGATTATCTGTTGGATATATGCCATCTGTCTATGGTATACTGAACTAGTATACTGAACTTCAGTTGTTGTTGTTGGGCTATTGTTATTTTTAAGAAAGGGGAAAAGAGGAATGAAAATGTGGATTGCCTCATACTATCTTTGACACCATTCACTCATTCACTCATTTATTTTGGAAAATCCAGATATACCTTTCTTTATAGAATCCTGCTTTTTCTTTTCTTTTCTTTTTTCTTTTTTTCCCTTAGGTATTATCCTCAGAAAGGAAAGCAAACCCAGATGTTTTCAAGCCAGCTGTACTGCAATCCTACACTAAGAATAGGAAAGATGTTCAATTGTGTTTGCATGTAAATGAATCATATGTTGCATTTCCAAACGCAGTCCAAATACTTTAATTTAGCAATCATGCAAAATTCCCACTTTTCTGAATTTTGCCATACTGATGTTGAAGAAAACACTTGACAGAAAGGTGTGTACAAAAATGCATATATTATGAAAACAATATTTAAAAACGTGTCACAGTGGAAAATGGTTTGCTATAATGCAAAACTGGGTAGATTTAGAAAATTTGCCAACAGATTGAATATCTTCATTCTGTTGGCAAATGCATTTGCCTAAATGCATTTTAATGTGGATTTAAAAACAATTCTCCTCTCTGACAAACCAGATTTGATAAGATTTTATGACTTAATTCATTCCTGGGTAGGAAAATCTCAACCCAGCTAACCTTGGGCTATGTTGGCCAGATGTGCAATAATAGGATTCAAAAGATGCCTTGTTGAACTTCTACAAAATTCTCTGGACTTGCAACTATCAGTAGCTGTGAGGAGTGTATTTGCATAATTATGTCTAATGTTTAACTGGACTCTTCCTGAAGTGGCCAGATGTAGCAACAGTTATCTATGTGGCCTGTCTTGACTACTGCAGTGAGTGGTACAAGGGGCTATCCTTGAAGAATATCCAGAATTTGCAAGTATAAAGTGCAGGGATCCTATGAAGCCTCTACTGAAAGATCTGCACTGGCAGCCCATTGGCTACTTGATACAATTTCGGGTATTGGTTCTGACATATCAAGCCCTAAATGATTTAGGCCCTTATTCTCTGGAAGACATCCTGTCCCACTATGAAGCCACATGGCTACTTAGATCGGCAGGAGAGTTCTTTGAAAGGTGCCTCCACTAACTGAGACTTGCTTACCTTGTCCATGGGAAAGATCTTCTCCTGTGTGGCTCCAGCCTGTGGAATGCACTCCTGAAGGAGGTATGTTTGACTCCCATTCTTCCAGTTGGTAAAAAGACATTTCTTCCCACTTTGTTAATTTACTTTATTTGAATGTTTTAATTTGGAAGCTACAGTTGGTCTACAGTGCTATGGTGTGGGCACAATGATGAGTGTTTCTTGATTCAACCAAGTTACACCTTTCTTCTGTGAGCTGTGCTGGCTCCCAGCAGGCTTCTGGATGCAATTCAAGGTTCTGGTTGTTACCTTGTGTCATGGGGTCAGGATACTTGAAGAACCTCTCTCTCTGGTTGGCTGCACTTATCCTATTAGATCTGGCAGGAGGGGCATAATCAGGTCCCATCAATTAAAGAATACCATCTTTAATGTCATTTGTGGAGTTGGGTGGCCATACAAATTGAATAAATAAATAAATCTTGTAGGATCCAGGGAGCATGCCTTTTTGGTCCCAGTGCCTGCCCTCTGAAACACCTTACCACCTGAGATCAGATTGGCTCCAACCCTGATGGCCTTCTGAAAAATGCTTAAGACCCCATGACATAAGGTAACAACCAGGTTATGGGAGTCAGGAAGTTAGAGAGGCCCAGCATTCTTATTTTTGAGGGTTTTTTTATTCCTGGCTGCTTTGCCTTGCCTTGCCTTTTTCTGATTGTATGGTCCATTTTATTTTTTTTTTATAAATTTTATTTATTTTAAAACATTTAAAGAATAAAATTAATGGCCACATTAAAAAAAAAGCAAGAAAGGACATATTGGATGGAAAAGAAACTATCAGTCAGTAAACAGAGAATATACAATTGTCATAAAATTAATTACTTCATTATTTTATTGATTAAACAATTAATTGAATACATAAAACTAGACTCATTATATGATTTTGCATGTCTGCAAAAATTCAGTGAATCTCACTCTCCTGAACATGCCCCTTTGGGCTCTTCTTCATTCATCCCCCAAACAATAGGAGGACCTGTTGCCTCCCATGAAAACATGTTGAGGTGTCTATAATGTTTATCATAGAAAGGAAATATATTCATATGTTGACTTTGATTATAATCCATTGCTTTTTTAACCAGGGTTTCCATCTCTTCCTACAGTATGTAAGAAACAAAGGTCTCAAAAGCAAAAAAAAATGCAAATTAAGTATCATTAACTCCTCTTTTAAAAGAAGAATGGATTGCATTTCAGTGCCAGAATCCAGGAT